CACCTTTTCGTAACGCCTTTCCAACCAAGTGCCTATTTCTAACTGCATGCATTAAATAAATTCTTTTTACAAAAATAACGCTTAACGCGAACCGTCGAGAGTCTTTGAGATCGTTTTTGCTTTGAGTTTAAAGATAAAATTAAAATCAAACTAATTAGTTTCTTTAAAAGAAAGTTTTTCCTAAATTGCTATCCAACGCTTCCTAAAAGTCCAAAACATTTTGCAACCTAAGTGTTTTAGTTTTATAGAAAATAGTAGTAGCTCGTGAGATATCCACTGCAAATTACAAAAAAACTAATTACAGAATGCTTAAATCTGCAGTAAAATACTAAAGTACTATGCCCCACACCTCAAAGTCCCACCACGAGACCACGTACGGAACGCAGTCTTTTGAAAATTTGGCATTTAAGGCTTTTCAGGTTATGTATATGTCAAAGTATAATCAATGAAAGAAATAATATTTATAGTGTTACCGCTTATGTTTAAGCGTTAAAAGTTAATAAATTTTTATAGTATCACAATAACAATGGTTGGTTTAAGAATTTAGGAATATAAATACTGCATTTAATGAAATTCTAAAGTGTATGGTGCCAAATAAGTGATATTTTTGTGCATTGGGTCTACATTTCTCCATAAAATAGTTTTAACTAAACCGCATTTATTAAAAAAATCTTACTTCTCTATTATGGAATAAGAATATCTGTATCAAAGGTAGGTAAATGTATTAGAACAAAAAATATCATCTAATTTTGTATTTTAAGGTTAGACAAATCTATTTTGACCAAAATAAATAAGTGGATTATTTGGAATAGTGTGTTAATATAGTCATAAATAAATATAGGTATACTAAATAATTGCTGAATATGGTTCAAATTAAATTGAAGCTTTTATACGACAAAACTTGTGCATACCTCTCGGCATACCTACTTTAAGTTAGATTATAAGAAAACAAACAATTTTTAGGGAAACTTGCAATGTGAAAATATTTAATACTTCCATGACATGTGATTTATTAAAATTTTTAAAGTTATAATGATTTTTCAATGTATATCAAATTCAGTCGAACCTTTATAACTATTTGTATTGACAAAACTTTATGTAGGTACATTTTAAGCTGCATTAGAAAAACTACCACATTTTTAAATACCATATTATACAGTCTTTCAAAAATATTTGTTAAGGATCAATTTCATCACACCTGCCTGGCAATTATCCCGAAGTCCAAGTCTGCATAAATTAGATAAGTAGTTACAAAAATTGCATGACCATATAATACCCAATAATATTAATACTAGTTAATACGAAATCCACAACCTTTAACTAACAAATAATCCGTCAGGTAAAATTAATTAGTCGCAAACAATTTCCAAGATTCCCATGCATAAAAAGCAAACATAGTAAAAAAACTATAAACACAAGGCACACATAAAAAACCATTAATCACTCAAGTTACGATAAACATTAGGCAAAAGAAATCTCTTTAAGAAATAAACATCTGTAGATTACTAAGACGTTAAGGGGACCATAAATTAGGTAAATAACCGTTCCATGCGTAAATAAACAGCACCGCACAGTGAGGCGCAAGGATGGACCCTGGCAGAATTAGCCAATCAAATCCCCATCATAACCCCACATGAATGGGGATCACGCACAGTGGGGCAAAAATTCGAGGGTATCGGCAATTACAGTGAGTTAAACAAAGGCGGGACAAACAGCTGCTTATGAAGTCGGTACTCGGCATGAGGAGCTGAATTTCCACGTAATCAGAGGGCACTAATTACGGTGGGTTGCAGCCGGCAACACTTCGGTTCTGAATCCCAACTGAATGGGGTTATTACTAAAGCCCTGGTTGAGGAGGATTCCGGATTGTACTTAGTTTTGGGTCAGTTCAATGTCCTCCAAAAACCTTTATAAATTGGACGTATGGCCCGACCCGGCTGACAAAAATCCGTGGAGCGGCCTTAACCATAGACTCTGTCATCCACGACCTCCTTGGGTGGATCTACCAGCCGGCGTAAAAACTTCGGATCCAACAAACACAGGTAATGATGTGAATTGGCGGGATACGCAGGAGAACGGAACGGGGGTAAAATAACCCTGGGAGATTAGTGTAAGATAATGTCGATGGGGCCTGCCATACGTTCCCATACTCATACTCATACTCATTACAAAATTAGATGATATTTTTTTATAATATATTATCCTACCTTTAATACAAATATACTTTTTCCATAATAGAGAAGCTATTTTTTTTTAATAAATGCTGTTTGGTTAAAATAATTTTATGGAGAAAACCAGATATTTGGACCAAATGCACAAAAATATTACTTATTTGGCACCATACACTTTAGAATTTCATTAAATGCAGTATTTATATTCCTAAATTCTTATACCAACAATTGTTATTGCAATGTTATAAATATTTATACATTTTTAACGCCTAAACATAATAATATTTCAAAAGAGTGCGTTCCGTACGTAGTCACGTGGTGGGACTTGAGGTGTGGAGCATAATACTATGCTCCACACCTCAAAGTCCCACCAAGTGATTACTTACGAAACGCAGTCTTTTGAAAATTTGGCATTTAAGGCTTTTCAGGTTATATATCTGTCAAAGTATAGTCAATGAAAGAAATAATATGTTTAAGCGTTAAAAATGTATAAATCTTTACACAATAACAATGGTTGGTTTAGAAATTTAGGAATCTAAATACTGCATTTATTGAAATTCTAAATTGTATGGTGCCAAATAAGTAATATTTTTGTGCATTTGATCTACATTAGGGTGTGCCAAAAAAACTCGATATTTTTTTTTGCTTGCTCTCCACCCAAAATATCGTAGAATATGTCCGAACAAATATTCTGTTTAAAGCGGAGCTCATAATTTCAATTTTAAGAGGTCCTCCATCGAATCTGAAGTTTTGCCGCTTAAATAACACAGAAAACTGACTTTTTTACCTTATTTATTCTTGCAACCTAGGAAGATTTTTTTTTTCATAAAATACATGACTAATTCTTACAAAGCATTAAATTTGGACAAAAAAATCTTATTAAGCCGAATTTCTATTTTCATTATTTGATTTTTTACAGAGCTTTAAATTTAAAGTTAATAATACAAAAATGATGACTTTATACGTCTGTAACTTTTAGAATATTGACGATACAAAAAATTCGCCATTTAACTTTTTCGTCTAACTTCAATAGTTTAGCTGAAAAAGGCAAAAAACGTAAAATTTTAAATTTAAAGCTCTGTAAAAAATCAAATAATGAAAATAGAAATTCGGCTTAATAAGATTTTTTCGTCCAAATTTAATGCTTTGTAAGATTTGGTCATGGATTTTATGAAAAAAAAATTTCTTCCTAGGTTGCAAGAATAAATAAGGTAAAAAAGTCAGTTTTCTGTGTTATTTAAGCGGCAAAACTTCAGATTCGATGGAGGACCTCTTAAAATTGAAATTATGAGCTCCGCTTTTAACAGGATATTTGTTCGGACATATTCTACGATATTTTGGGTGGAGAGCAAGAAAAAAAAATATCGACTTTTTTTGGCACACCCTAATCTACATATCTGTTTTTTTCCATAAAATAATTTTAACCAAACAGCATTTATTAAAAAAATCTACCTTTTCTATTATGGAATAAGTAAATCTGTATTAAAGCTGTGGGTAAAAGGCATAAGGACATAAGTCAAAAAAAAAATTTTTTTTCAATAGAGCCTTTAACGTGATCGCATTAATTCAGGAAATATATTTATGTTTAGCGGGTATACGCTTTTGTTAGCATATGGCATGTGGTAACAAAAGGGTATACCCGCTAACCATAAATATGTTTCCTGAATTAATGCGAATACGTTTAAGGCTCTACTGAAAAATTGCTTTTTTTGACTTATCCCCTTATGCCTTTTACCCACAGAAAGGTAGGTTAATATTTTATAACAAAAATACCATATAATTTTGTAATTTTAAGGAAAAATCTATTTTGAACAAAATATATAAGTATTTTGGATTATTTGGAAGACTGTATAATATGGTATTACTTCTTCTAAAACAATGTGGTAGTTTTTCTAATCCAGCTTAAAGTGTACCTACACAAAGTTTTGTCAATACAAGAAAGATTCGACTGAATTTGATCTACATCCAAAAATCATTATAATTTTAAAATTTTTAATGAATCACATGTTATGTGGGTATTAAATATTTTCACAATGGAACTTTCTCTAAAAATTGTTTGCTTTATTATAACCAAACTTAAAGTAGGTATGCCAAGAGGTATGCACAAGTTTTGTCGATAGAAGTATAAAAGCTTGAATTTAATTTGAACCATATTCAAGAATTATTTAGAAATACTATATTTATATGACCATATTAACACACTCTTTCAAATAATTCACTTATTTATGTTGGTCAAAATAGATTTGTCTAGCCTTCCAATACAAAATTAGATGCTATTTTTTGTTATAATACATTAACCTACCTTTGATACAGATATTCCTATTCCATAATAGAGAAGTTAAGATTTTTTTTAATAAATGCCGTTTAGTTAAAACTATTTTATGGAGATATGTAGCCCAAATGCACAAAAATATTACTTATTTGGCACCATACACTTTAGAATTTTATTATATTCCTAAATTCTTAAACCAACTGTTATTGTGATACTATAAAGATTGAATAACTTGTAACGCTTAAACATAAGCAGTAAAACTATAAATATTATTTCTTTCATTGCCTATACTTTAACAGATACATAACCTGAAAACCCTTAAATGCCAAATTTTCAAAAGACTGCGTTCCGTACGTAGTCACGTGGTGGGACTTTGAGGTGTGGAGCATAGTGCATCTTGCATAAAATTCAGGAGCGTGTTTTGGTAGAATGGATATGCCAAATGTATTCGCGATTGTTGATAATTAATCAAAAAAATTCCTCCTTGCCAAACAATGTAAAAAAGTGGATATGTTCACGAGTAAGTAGTACTGATTAGAACGTTGTTGCGCACGCAGCTTCCACATAAACTCGGGCATGGACGGCAGTTCGTATAGCAGCCCTATAGAATCTCCCACCGACGCTCCAATCACCTCCTCCGTCGCGACGCTGCAGTCGGCCGAGTCGCTATCGCTCCGGCAACGGCAGGTGCGTCTACTTACTGCTCACTACAACGAACCACTAAACCACCACGAACCCCAAGTACCTTTCAATACCTACTTACTCCCCCAATGTTCCCAGCCGTCCCTCCCGAATCAGTCTTCTTCGGCCAAAACACCGGACACCCCCTCGGCAAACATCTCACCTCACTCTTCTTCGGGAATGTCGCAGAATTTCACCTCCCAATTTACTTCCGAAAGCAGTCTGAACCCCCCAAAGTTGGATCTACCCACCCCGTCTGCGATTCTAACGCCCTCTATCGAGGCATCTTCAGAGACTGACGGTCAGACTTTCGATGATTTTTTGAATCTTGGCGACGAGGTCTGGGACTCCAGTAATTTTGATTACGATCTCAGTTGTCTTAATATTGATGGACTCTCTATTAAGAGTTGCCAATCGAACTAATACGAACTGCAGGGTTTTTAAAGTAACACCAGAACAACTTAAATGTATAAATGAGACCTTATGATGTGAAAAGAAACTTAGTTGTTCATATAATAATATTTTATAAAGCTTAATAAAAAATTGACTGCCACACACAAAGAACTGGTTTATTTTTACAGGTTTTCTTTTTTACAAAATTTAAAAAAATATAATTTAGAAAAATATAAAATATAAATATAATTTAGTACCAAATGAATTTCTTAAAAATCATAGAAATATTTCAAAAATCAAATATTTGTTTGATCATCAAAATTTACCAGGGAAATGAAGAATTTATTTAGGTCGTAAAACGTATTGAGGACATGCCAGAAGAATAATTTTTAGATCTTTTTGAGATAATTAACTGAAGAAGTAAGAAGCAAAAGGGTACAAGTGCATTTTAACATAAAAATAAGTTAGATGCAGAATTGGGTAGTAGAGTCCAAATTTTTTTAAGTTCTGCATGTTGATTAATGCAAACAACAATATTGAAACAAGTACACACATTTTTGTACATAGCAAAAACTCCACTGCTCTTTTTTGCACTTACCCCTTCAACTATTAATTATACATTCACAGAGAGATTATTTAAATTAAAGTAATGTTATGTATATCAAATAAATTATTTATTTCGATATACCCAAATAAATGTTCTTTTGAATGTTAAATAGTTATTTATGTCATTAGGTTAAGAAGTAAGGCTTTTTGTGCTAAGCTCAAAGTTTGAAGGCCGACGCATAGCGGAGGCCTACAATTGAGCGAAGCACAAAAAGACACTTCTTGGCCGAATGGCATACAACATTTTATCTTCAAAGCACTTTATATAGGTCAATTTAATTCAACATCAAAGCGGCCTAACCTCACTTTTTTAGAATCTCATTTATTTATTGGCTAAAGATTACATTAAATGTACAATAATTATTATTGCTTTTAGAAGCAGTAATAGTTTGACAATACCTAGCTACATGATTTAAGTAGAAATGGATTTTTGTAAGAAAATTGTTTACTTACCCTCTTACATTGAATTCAATTAATTGTTTAATAAATAGGTATCTAATTTCAATTTGTTTGCATTTTTATTTTAAAAATAGGTAGTTTGGAATGTTTAAGCTGTGTTTAACATTTAATTTCACTGAAAACTTAAAGCAAATTAAAACTTAAAGATAATTTAAATCGTAGAAAAAGAATCGAGCGTTTTCTTGGTTGCCTAAAGTATGATACCAATGGTATCGTACTATTAGTTGCCTAAGATTGTAAATTTCAATTATTACATTTTTTAATTTATTAACAAATTAACAAAAACACCACTAATTTATTTATTAAAGGTTACATTAAAGGTACAATTCGTAAAACTAGAATTTGTTATAAATCCAGAAGTGGCCAAAGTGTTTTCCACTGTATTAATATTTGTATCACTACTTCCCATTTCTTCATCATTTGAAATATAATCTCTAGCAGAAGTTGCAGCAGTAAGCCAACAAAACTTTCAGAAAAGCCTTTTGCTCTTCACAAAATTTTAAAATATGCTGATAAGAATAATGGATAATTGTTTTGATTTTTTAGGAATAACTGAATTAATAGCCGAATTGGCAAGTTCTGCCAGTTCAGGTGGTGTACACTGAATAGAAGAGCTATTTACATCCATTTTAGAAACGAGCTAAAACACAACTGTGAAATCCACAGAAACGTCAAATTGAACACTTTTATCGGCCTAGGCCATAACAAGTTATTTCTTTATCGAATGTTGACAACAATAAAGTTTAAATTATAGACCGCGTGGAGATAGAAATCCCAGGTAGCACAACGTGAAGAAACCGTGACGATTTGTGTCAATTGAGTCCAATTGGGATATTTATTCCTTTTAATTTATTTAATTTAAAATTAATTTATTTAAATTAAATAATTATTATATTTGAATTAATAAAAATTATTTATTTAGAATAAAATATATATTTTTTTAATTAATAATGTTTTATTGGTTTCATCTAATCTAGTAATATATATTGGTATATTAGGAAGTAAAAATTAATTAAATTTTTTAATAATATAATAATAATAAACACTAATCTTTATTGTATAAAACATTTTTATAAATAAAGATAGAAAACCCTAAACTCTACAAATACTTACAAAACAAAATACTTTTTAAAAAAAGTATTTTTGTACCCCAGGAGCAGACTAATGATAAAGTATTTTTGTACCCCAGGAGCAGACTAATGATTTTACCAATTGGTACATAAATTAACCTATTACATATAAAATCATTAGTCTGCTCCTGGGGTACAAAAATACTTTTTCTTATAGCTACATACATGTCACCATTTGGCAAAAAGCTCATTCCTTTAAAAGGTCATCCATAGTATAAAATAATATTATATTATAATTGATTAAATACATCACACTACATGATGACTACTTGATGACAACAGCCTGCTCTAAATTGGAGTCGCTAAAATCATGTAGACCCAAAATGGAAAGCCCATTGGCTATCTGCAGTCGCGTGATTTACAGCAACCAATAAGATCTAAAGTATTCATGCAAGTCATATCCAAAAAAGTTTAAATAAACCTCTTCTTCAAATTAAATCACAATTTTTTTGTATTTAAATAATAATTTGGTTAAATTAAATAATTAATTTTTTTAAATTTAATTAAAATCATATTTTAAAATTAAACCATATTTTTAAAAAAATAATATTTGTTATTTAATTTAAACTTTTTACATTTTTAAAAGAAATAAATTGTTTTTATAATTTAAGAAAGTCAACTTTTATTTAAACAGGATAAATGCAATTTTGAAATAAAAGTCCGGTACTTTGTTTTAAATATATATTTTAATACATTTGCTTTTTTCTTTTTAAAACAGACAATTATTAGTTTTAAAGAATTGTTTTTGAATTAAATTTATAATTTTTTAAATGTAATAAATAAAATTAAACAAACATTCTTGTTTGAATTAATAGTATATTATGTATCAAGATTGATAAACGCCATTTTATACACGAATTTAATTTAGGCACGAGCGAGCTTGCGAGCGAGTGTTTAAATTAATTAGTGTATAGAAAAGTTTATAAACGAGGTGCATACTATACTTTTTCTACGACAAATACTTATTATTATCTTAAAATTATTTAAATCAAAAATTTGTATAGAGCGCCATCTATGAAACAATAAGGGAAACTGTGTGTCACCGTCAAATGTCACATTTTAACATTTTATAAACACAATTATAAAGGTTATAAATCGAAATGTAGTACAATGTTCATATAAACTTTTCAAATATTGGCGTTGAGAAACTATTTTATATTTTTGTATTTTTGTATTGAGATAATAAAATAATTTTCACATTTAGTATTATTTTACAAGAAAGGCACCTTATTTTAACGATTGTATGACATTTGACAACTGTCAACTAATTTAAAACTAACTTCAGCCCGTGACTAAAAACCTGTTACTATTTTCCGTGACTAAAGCGCCGTAAAGCCACAACTTGTCAATGTGTATTTAAAACGTCACTTAGTGTCATGGAAACATGTGCGATAAAGGGCGTTTTAAAGGTGGGAGTAGAAAAAACATCTTTTTTCTCTGTGGGTCTTAAAAAAATCCTTAACAGACTATATTTTTCCAAAGGTTAGTGACGTGGTTGCATAAATGAATTATTAATATAAGATTGTAGTTTTACAAGATAGATAACATAAAATTATACAAAAAATAATATTCTAGTGCGTCGAAAAAACAAAAAATGTTGACTCGTGGCAATTTTTTTTTTCAATAGTTTAATAAATAAGAAACCCAAAAAACCGGAGCGGAAGCGGTGCTATCTCAGTTCTACCACCCACGCAAAATGTGGGAAACATTTTTAATTTATATCAAGGCTGATTTTTTTTCTGGGATGGTTTATTAAACTAGAAAAAAATACTATATAATAATCTAAAATTTTGATACTGCCTAAAGTATCATTGAAAAAATGCATGATATAATTTCACTAAACTCCCTGTCTAAAAGGTTTGCTTTGCGTAATCCAAAAAAATGTAAAAAATGAATTAAAAACTGGTCTAAAATTTAATTTTTTATCCTAAAAAGATTTAAATTAGGCAAATATAATACAAAATGTATCCCAGAGATTTTCATGAATAAATAAATGATGGGCGAAATTTATAGTGAACATTTTTAAACAACTATTATCAAATTTCAAATTTCAAATTTCAATGGAAAACATGTAAACAATACAGACAAGTTGACAACAACTGCGACAGGAAAAAGCGAGCAGCTGTTTATTTATGCAAATCAGGTTTGCTATAAAATATGCAGTTTTAATGCATTTAATCCCTCTAACTTTACATTACCTAAATGTTATTCTGTCGAATAATTGGTTTCGGTTAAAACAATTAACTACATTTCTTTTGATTTAACTTAATTTTATACTTGGAAATAATCACTTAATCACTTAATATCTTTTCTTACGTTGCTAACAAAATTTGTCTTTTTATTTGCAAGGCAAAACTAGAATAAAAAGTGACGTTTCAGTAATAAAAGTTACAGTTCTGTGTAAAAAAATTCAAATTT